GAGAGAGAGAGAGAGAGAGAGAGAGAGAGATGCTCAATCGGGCGATGGATATGGAGCCAAGAATCCACGAAGTGATGAAAAGGACTCGAATGGACAATGCAGTGTCATCAAAGCATCAACAAGCAATGTACATCCAGATACATACAAAAATAGCATAATGTAGCGCAACGCAACGGAAGACTCAAAGATATGACCTGACCTGCCAGCTACTGACGCGACACCTGATCATACACCACATATGTGAGAGAGAAGGGAGGGACCGCATACATAGACGAAAGGTCCCTCCTTGAGCACGCACATGGGGAGATACCACGGATGAGGAGATGGGGGAAGGAGGCAGACGAGGATGGAGACGAGGGAGAAGACCAAGATCGCGATGGCGCAGTCCAAAAATAGTCCTGGGCCCCAAGGCCCGGCGTAACCTCTGCCTGTAATCTCTCTCTCTCTCTCTCTGAAAGAAGAAGAAGAAGAAGAAGAAGAAGAAGAAGAAGGTGGAGAAGGATGTCAGCCTCCAATCTCACTTGCCGTCGGTAGTGGCTGGCGCTCGCCTGTCGTGCAGGTTGCTGGCGTGAAGACCCAGCTACGGTGGCCAGGTAAGTCCTCCGTCAACTGCAGGTATGGCTCTCTCTCTCTCTCTCTCTCTCTCTCTCTCTCTCTCTCTCTCTCTCTCTCTCTCTCTCTCTGTGTGTATATATATTGTCACAAACAGAACTGCCCGGTAAACCATAGGCAGAGAGAGAGAATATATATATGTGACAATATATATATATATATATATACGTCTACCTCTACCTAGTGCAGTGCTGTGTCGCGCGCTGCTCCAGCAGTGTGTCGCCCAAGAAGTGAGCTACTCGAACTGTCTATGCCCTGGCCTGGCCCACCTATGTGTAGCGCTGGGCCTCGCCGGTGTGCCCCTGGCCCTGCCTGCTGACGCAGAGGGGAACGTCCTGCTAGCGGATGGAACCGAACCTGGCCTCAAAGGGGCCCAGTCGCGAAGGAGGCCCAGAATGTGGCCTAGGTCCGAACAGACTGAAAGTTCTGTTCGGACATTGCAAGTCCAAAACGTCGCCTGGACAGACAAAAATAGGACAGCAAATAAATAAATAAATGAATGCCGCCTCAAATCGAAACTGTGGCCCTAAGGCCGGCCGTGGGCCTCCAGAGCGCGCGTCCGAGGGGCGTGCGGCCTGGGAACCCCCGGCAACCGTCAGCCCCCCAAAACGGGGCCCGTGTGCAGGCTCAGCATGTAACACACACACACACACACACACACACACACACACACAGATAGATAGATAGATAGAGATAGAGATGAGAGAGAGAGAGAGAGAGAGAGAGAGAGAGAGAGAGAGA